GCTCTTGGCTCTTCCATGTCCAGACACTGCCCTACATAAAACTCTGTCAAGCTTGCCTGACTGCGCAAAACTGCAGGAGGGAGCACATCTTATTACAAAGGCGAGAATTGAATTTCACAGTTTAAGCCGTTGCAAAATGTATCTGTGGACAAAGGAAAGTCATAGCAGGAAAAAAAGACCTGTCGAGTTGAAAAATAAGAGTTAGTTTAAAGATGGTAAACGGGTGGGTGAAATATAATTCTGCCACTTTTATAATGCCTTCAAAGCATTTAAAATGAAAATAAACAAAATTAGAGACCATAAGATAGGATTTCTTGGAGGTTGCAACGTGTATGACATTCTGTTAAATTTTGGCCCCTATTTTAACGATCTAGGCACAAAATCTAAAGTGCATGTCCCAAACGCGTTAAGGGTGTGTTCAAATTTTGCTATTTTAAGGATGGAAAAATACACTCTGCTCCCTTGTGCATGGTCTAACAGGGTTGTGCTTATTCTCTTAATGAGCTATGGTGTGTTTTGAGCATAAAGTGCATTAAACCAATTAGTCTTATCTCACATTCCCAGTAAGTTGCGTTTTGCCACGGCACATTTGCTGTTTACATGGAGGACTTTGTAAGTGGAAAAACTGAATGGATCACTAATGAGTAACATTAAAAAATATACCATCTGCAGAGAGGATAAAGAAAGAGCCTCCTCCATTCAGCCTCTTTACTTTCTCTTTACTTTACTTTTTATTTTACTCCTTTACTTTCGTGGATAAGGAAACCGCGTTTTATGCACTCCACTGAAGACATTCATTAGCCTACAAATTTTATTAAGTTTGTAAAGTCAAATATTTTTTCAAAACTATTTTTAAATCCAGTTCTAATTTCCAGCAAACAAATAAATGAACAAATATAATTAGGTGTGGTCAAAAACGGACTTATATCCAAACACACCTGTCCAGTTTTTATTTCCCTTATGGTGATGCATACTGTACATCTCCAAAACCCGACAAGTGGACTAATATAAATATGCATATAATAAATAATCGACTACTAATAATAACATACAAATGCAAATTGTCATGAATTAACTGACAAAAGCCCCCCGACATGAAGAAGGCATGGATGTCGTGGTTTTTATATTTACATAGATAATAATGATTTTTGTAACAATTTAATCCTTTATTTTTTGTCGTATTTAAAGATATTTTTGTATTGCTGTACATCCTGTTTGTATTAAGCAACGTGTAAGCGCTTTGGACCCACATGAGCACATAACTAATGTGCTCTGCGCAGGACTTTAGACCAGGTTTCAGTCTATTTCAGTTCTTCACAATAGCAGCATGCCAACAATGCACCTCAACAAACCTCCTTTAGACCGGCACACCCATGAGTCCACAAAGTGGCACAAATGGATTTGCTATTTAAACAATGTGATGCAAAATGTGAAAATTAGGGTTGCGCTGGTCTAAAAAATCAAATTGAGCCAAACACGTTTTGCACCTTATTGCAGTGGTTACATGATAGGGCTCTTAATACTCTACACATATGACAATGTTGTGTCCCTAGAAAAGTGTTTTATACATAGTCTTGCTATACTAAAAATGCAACTCAAAAGGGAATTCAGAAATCATGGGAATGTACACGAGATACAACAAACCAATGCCAAACAACTAGCTCCAATGAAAACCATTTGTGTTGTCAGCTCACATTGGCTCATGTCTGGTTTCATCTGAACCAAAAAGCTGTGTGTGAACACACCAAACAGGTGGCAGCCGACTTAAGCAAGAACGCATGTTCTGTGTCTGTGTGAAAGGATATGTCTTACTGCACCTATGGGAGGCAGTAGTCTGTTTTGTTATTTCACAAAGGGAAACTAGAAGAAACATAAACAAAGTGTTTAGAACTATTACCACAGTACTTGTCTCTTACCACTGACGGATTTGTTTAGGGGAATATGTCTGATTATCTAATAATATAGTTTGCAAATATTTTAGAAATGTAGCAAAATTACAGCCGGGATCGTTTTGTGGTTTTTTGACTTGATTTGTTTACTTGGGTACGTCACTTCAGTTTGTGTTCTCGTGCCCTGATTCTTTGCTGAATAACCAATCAGAACACCCTCTTCTAAATGGCGAATCAGGTCAACTCAACCTGACATTAACCCGACAAGAGGCGACATGAGGAACACACCAAACCAATTAGCTGGACCGACACTGACCAACAGCCTGACACTGCCCAACAGCCAACTGTCAACTTGTTGTCCCAGCCTTAATCATGACATGCTTGCTTCAGTCAAATCATAGGCAACTTGCAAGCTTTTTTCATACCATCTCATGCTTACTGCACACAATAAAAAAACATTTTCAAATTTCTTTGGCTCATATAACACATGTAGCTTAGCAAAGAAAGACTTTTTAAAATCAGTGTAAAGTCTTATTTCCTTGTTTTCTTGAAGAAAAAGTCAATTTACAGTAATGTTTAGCAGTTGCATAAATTATGTAAATTCTAAGGTGTGCTAACATATTAGATTATGCAAATTTATCGTGGATAAATGCACAGTTTAAGTTCAGGTCTTAAGCTCAGTTTCATATCAACACTATGCTTAAGGATTTTAGTTTTTTTGTCTTAATCTAAACTTTTTTTTTAAATCAGATGTTGCATTTCAAATTATTTGTCAGTTTGTTTGTTTGTTTTTGGCCCAACATCATGCATAGTCTGAACATTTTGCTTTCTAAGACCTAAATGCCTTGCCAGGAGCCACATTTTGTTTGTCTGTATAAGCGTTATTCTTTCTGTTCGCAGACCAATATAATGGATGGGGGATGAATGAGTAAATTAACTGCAAATCTTCATGTTTGGTTGAGCTTTCATTGTAATCCTTTTCTGTGTACACAGTTTGGTAATTTACGAAAGTGAAAACAGCATTTAAAAATTAATTACCTCTTGGAAACAGCAAGGACAAACACATTTATGGATTTTCACCATAGTATGTGCGTAAAACTAAACTGAACAACTAGCTACCAGTTTACTATTCAACATTTTGTGGATTAAAGTTGTCCTAAAACTAAAATGTGTATCCATTTTTGTCTTAGGCCAGGGATGTCCAAAGTCGTGTCCTGCAAAGTTCAGTTCCAACTTGAATCATTATACAAACAATTCTTAAAAACCCTTGATAAGAAATCAGTTAAATTTCACCATTGTTCAATATTTAAGAAATCCAACCTGCTTGGGAATTTTTTCTTTAAATATGTACATATTTGTTTAATGTTTAAGACCTTACATAACCCAACTTCACCACTAAATCAGTTTGTGAAAGCTAGAATGACTGTTCACCGAACTACTAGAGATGGTGAAAGAGGGAATTGTATTATTCCTCTCAAAAAAAAGTTAATTTAGTCAGTCCGTATTTTCAGTTAAAGCTGCTAGGAAATGGAACTCCATCCCACCAACAATTTGAAGATCACTTACTTTTCGTTCTTTTAAGTTTCATGTTTAAAATTGGTTATTGACAAATCAGCATTGACAGCATTAGTACTGTATACTTGACACTTATTTGTACTGTTTGTCTTTGGCTTTTTTGTCCTCTTCTGCTGCCATCATCAATCTGTTTATGTTTTTTTTTTTTTTTTGCTTTTTGTATTGTATTTTATAATTGACAGTGTATTCTATGTTATTATGCTGGGCTTCTATTTTAGGTGTGACTTTTTAGCATTCCGTAAGGGGCCAACAGATGAAAAATATCCATTCTTGGATAATTACTGCACATTTTATTGTAATGTTTATTAATGTGCAGTGACCCTGTAAACAAATAAACTAAAAAAATAAAAAATAAAAAACAATCAGACACACCTGGGCTAGCTAATCAAGCTAGGCATTCTAGAAACATCCTTGCAGGTGTGTTAAGGCAAGTTGAAGCTAAAATCTGCAGGACATCGGCCCTCCAGGACCGAGTTTGGAAACCCCTGTCTTAGGGAACTTTTCTGATCCACTTTAAATGTTGAATATACTGTAGTTACCATTAAAAATCTGATATTACTAGGGTCGGCAGTGACCTAAAAGATAAAGAATTGAACTTGTGAACTAAAGGTTGTAGGTTTGAGTCACTGCACCAACAAGGATTGTAAGTGTTGTGAGTGAATACCACGGCTAAGTCGAATCCCTTTAGCAACTGCTCCCTAGTTGTGTGTGCCACGGGTATCAGACACTTTGAATAAAAGTGTCTGCTAAATGCTTAAATGCAAAATGCTAATGCATGAACTTTTCTTTTACACCATGGTGTCAATCATCAACATTTTGAAAGCAATTCCTGGATTCCACTACCATATTTAAATATGATTACCAATCCTAACACTTTTACAGGGAGAAAAGTGTAAAAGAGTGAATAACCTGATAACATCTCAATTTTAGCACAGCTTCCTTCATTATCATTTTTGCACTGTCACTTCTTGCAGCACTTTTTTGATGACATCACAGGAAAGACGAATGAGTTTCTGTAGCAGTTTGACCCTTGCTTATATAGTACATTCATTTTTAATTCCAAACAATTCATCCTCAGAACAGGGGGTTTGACTGCAGAGTATTCGGAAGAATTAAACAGGACTGCTGAGACCACATGAACACAGACTGCAAGAACAAATCTGAGTTCAGGGAGGATTCAAGGTTGGCAGCAGATACTAATAATGTAGTTCAGACGAGGTACACTCTTAAAAGTGATGTGTTAAAAATTTACACAAAATATGTGTTAAACAGGTCGTAACACATTTTGTGTTACTACGGACACATTGCGTGTTAATATTGTGCTTAACTGTTTACACAATGACTGTGTTAAACACATTTAAACAGTATGTTGGAATACAATGCATTTTTGCCTGTAGTCAAATGGCACTTTGTTATGAGTTTATGTAGTTTATTTATCATGATGGTAATATAAAATAAGCATTTGTGAGTATGTGGCTAAAAATTCTATATTTCGGGGTTTATGCTGTTAATTTCTGCACGCGCATGCGCAGTGAGGTTCTTTTTCAACTGACGCTCTCCCAGAGCTCTATCGGATAACGCACCTCTCTGCCTCAGGTGAGTGAAATTCATTAAAATTCGTCTACGATAGTAAATATTTCTTCCACTCTGCGTGAGAATGTTTTGTGTTAGTTGTCCAAGAAGTTATTTTTGTTACTTTTATTATGTTTTCATGTTTCGTACTCCTGATACACGGGACTTGGCAACTCTGTCATGTAACATTAACTTTAGCCGCGCAAGCTAACGCATCTGGCGCGTCTTTTGTAAAGCTGCGTTGGCACTTGGCAGAATTGTTAATAATAAGTTACATATAAGGCGAAAGACTTACCCTAAATATGTAACGTTAACGTACTGCATTTTGGTGTAACAGTTGCCGTCACTTTAAAAAGCCTCTGCGTCTCTTGACACTCGAGGTAACGCTAACGTTACCGGATATAATTTATGCATTTAACGTTACGTTATTATCATAAGGTTATTTAATATATAACCTAATATGAAGCTCTGCGGCAGGAATTTAAACATAAATCCCTTGTCGTAACGTTAGTTTTGTGCTTTGTACAGACACCAAATGGCGCCGAGGTGTGAGCAAATTCATAAACAATAGCTAAAATAAGATCTTTAATGTACTCAATTTTGCGCGCCATTTTGTGGTACCCTACTAGTCGCGTACTATTTAAAAGTGTACTTTTTATTGTCATACACAGTTACATGTGTTTGTTTTCTCATTGTGCTGTATGAATTTCTCTCTTAGGAGATGGAAGTCGAGGAACAAATTACAGTCACTCTTAACACTTCTACACCGCGTTTTTGCAACTGTCTTCATAGACAGAAAGGAAATATGGAGAAAACTATTCACAGATGGCAATGTTGGAGATCTGATAGCCTTAGTCAAACTGGAACGGTCTCAACAACTATCTTTTGATTGAATATTGAAATTTGACAGATTTTCAAGTTCATTGACACTGATGTAAATGCAGGAGTAAAGGAGCTTGGCAAATTTCAAATATATTATATTGCAAGCAACACCCCAGACTCATTAGAAAGAAGTGTGCACTCATTACAGGTAAAACATTAATATATTTCTCCCTTTATATTACCATGGATAAACGTAAACATTTAAATAAATAAAATGTTTTGGCATTTCTTAGTGTCCTTTAACAGATTCAACTCAGACTGGCAACACAACTAGTTTGCTGACGCTGCTTGAAGAAAAGCCTCTTCAATCCTGAGAGAACATGAAGACTGTCAAAAAGTTGCTGTCAGTGTCCTTGTAGAGAAACATGGATTGTGAGTATGTGGTTTGTTTATTCCATGTAAGATGTATTTATTTGCAAATTAAATAAATTACATTTATTTAAATAAGTTCTATATTAAAATAAATTCTAAATTTAAAAAATATTTCAAATAAATACATTTAACAATTTATCCCAATCAATTCTGAAGTACCACTGTTTAGTCCATTTTTTATGTTTGTCAATGTTTGTGTATAAGCAATTTATGCAACTGTATTTGTTTTTTTTACTTTTTTAGCTATCCTTCTGGTACAGAAAAGCTGGTACTAGCAAAAGAGATTCTGTCATTGTTCCCCTCAGGTGCCCTTTGGTGAAAATGAGGGACATGTAAGAATGTTTTTACATCATAAACTGAATTTATTAGGAATGTGTATATAAGTTGCTCATTTATTTGACTTTCATTAGTTCTGTTTTTACATTACTAATGTCAGGAGGATTTTTTTTTTGCTAGGCCATCACACAGTCAGACGGAAGCTTCAACAGAGCCAGTGGGTGTACAGTTTAAAACATCATCATTGTACACCGCAACCTTCTTCACCAAGTCCAGATGAAACCGTACCAAGTGAGTGGTTGTCTCTGATAAAGGAGATGCGACCATCACCAGACAATTTATCATCAATAAAGACTGCAATCAATCAAACCTTCAGTTACAGAAGAAGATGGATAACAACAAAATCCCTTCAAAATCTCTTGCTGAAATCTTCAAGGACTATCCCAGATTTCTTGACATGCCAGCTTTGGTAATAGACATGCTCAACTAAGACAGAACTTTACACAGACATTTATTTCATAATTGTAATATTAATATTTCTTTGTTTCTGATTTCTTTCTTTCTTTAAAGATGGACATTGAATTTTCCAAGCTCACAGATGGGAACGAAGACTTGTTTATCCAGAAAAGGGAAGGGACGATAATTCCAGAACTCAAAGAAATAGCATCTTGGAGAAGAAAATTGACATCAGACTCTTACTGAAGATGGCTGACAATCAGCATGATGGTATGAGTTTCAGCCAAAATATCTGTTGCATGTGCACACTTTTCTAAAAATAGTTTAAAAGATAAAACTTGATGTGAATATTAATATTCTATTAAAGATATTAATTTCTAATATATTTTGTTTAAATTCTTATTTTGCATGTGACCTGTATCTTCACTTCAAGATGAGCTGTTAAACTGTTAAAGATCCTTATTCATCTTCTTCCACCTACTGCCTCTGGGAGAAGTGTTGCTGGGAGTAAATGCTGTGTGACTTCTGCTGTGTCCTACCTGTTGGAGCAAATGCCGGTATAGTTTTTATTGGTTTAGCTTATGATAAATAAAATGTTTCTAATGCAGCAACATTTTCTTATGCTTTTTATTGTTTCATTCCTGAAGGCTGGTACCACCGTTACATCTTTGCTCACTGAATCCATGAAAGGGACCCTGAAGTCAGCTCAGCCGCAGTTGGTTTCTATTGGTTGTCTAGGACATGGATCCTTGTACGTGTACGTGTACTTGTAGCTGTGGCAAAGAATGACTCTTTTGCTCTTCCACTCGATCCTGAAAGCCTGACCTGTGCTGTAGACAGACTTTTCAAATTCTTCTGGCTGTGCAATCTTCATTATCCATGCCAACTGTCTTCTGTTTTTTCTTTTTTTGAGTATATATATATATATATATATATATATATATATATATATGACCTGTCCTTGTCCCAGTCATCTTGCACACGATCAAAGGTCATGGAATTAATTGCTAAGGTGCAGTCTTGTACCTAATTGAAATAAGTATGTACACCTATCCAAAGTGTCTTTAAAAGGATTTTGTAATTTGGCATTTAAGGGAAATGCATCCACTCTCTGATAGTCACAACTTAACTTTAATTTGTAGTCAAAATCGTTGCCCTAGAACATATCATAATTTAAATTCCTTTTTAAAACATCTAAACAGATAATTTTAAAATTAATTCATGCCCTTCTGAAGAGTCAGGAAACACAGGGAACGAGAGTTTTAAGAGTTAAGTTTTTGATGAACATATTTTTTTCTTCAGTGTCATCAGAACAAATCGTTTTCTCTTTGCTTTGCTGCCTGGGGACTTAATAGATTACAGACCTCTAGACATTTTGTAATTTTATGATCAGCAGTATGTATCTCCTAAATACAAAATATTGTTTTAAACATGTTAGTGATTGAAACTTTGGTAACACTTTATAATAACTACACACTATAAATCATTTATTAAGCATTAGCAAATGGTGAATTCATTAGTTTGTAAAGCGTTAACTCTACATTATAAGACATTAGCGGTTTACAAATGCTGTATTCTTGACTTATAAGTAAATGTTTAATGTGCTTAATAATTGTACCTCACACTTTGCTTCTGATTATTTTTTCACTACTAAATTAGGACTGCATTATTTACAAACCATTTGTATTTGAAAGTATGAATTATAAAAGTACAATTGTTAGGCACATTATAAATGTGCTTATAAGTCAAAAAAACAGCCTTTGTAGCAGTATTTAGAAACCACTTACTAATGTCTTATAATGTAGATTTAATGCTTAACAAATTGTGAATTAACTACTGTACTTGCTAATGCTTAATAAATGATTTATATTGTGTCGTTACTATAAAGGGTTACCTAAATAATTGAAGTGTTTTGATTAGATTTGACAATGATTTATTTTGTTAAGACAAGCACCTTACATGTGGGTGAATGTATAAACAGTGTGCTATGGTTATTTATTTCTTTCACTAGAGAATAATTTTGAAAATATATATGTTTCATACATATTTGACATTTTATTGGCATGCGTAACAGATACGAGTTCAATTTAATGAATACTTTTATAAAGTGAGTTTTTATATTATGTACAATGAATTGCTGTAAAACATTTGAATGCATTTGGGAAAATTAAACAGTATGTGAACAGTGTTTAATGTTTCCTGTGAGATTTTGTATATTGATTTTACATTCATAATATTTTTTACATTTAAAATTACAAAAAATGAATAGTAACACACAGTTGTGTTAAACACATACAAAAATAACACATCTGTGTGTCAACTTATGCTGCACATTAATGTGTTACATTTTATGACACATTTTGTGTGTTAAACTTAACTCAACATGTGTTGTCCCTGAGCACACTCAGGACATGTGTTAAAAATAACACATGTTGTGTTGTTTTCAACACATTCCTTTTTAGAGTGTAAGTGCAGACGTGGCATAAAAGAAATAAAACTTCAGTAGCTCTTTTCTTTTTCTTTTCTTATTTTACTTTGCTGTGCTTGTGTCACAGATATTAAAGCACAAATGAATTAATCTAATAAAAAAGTCTTGTTTGTTGTTCTCAATTCAACCCACACAATCCTATCTATGTAATAAATGTGAACGACAATGTGGTAGACAGCATGACTAATTTCTCAAGTATCATTTCTATAATATTACTGAATGACATCTAAAAGCATTAAGATATGGCTATATTCAACTACACATACAGTAATTATCTAACAAATCATGTTGGTCTGTTTTTGTTTTTTAATTATGAGACTTGAAAAGGAGAAACCGAGGACAAGAATAAAAGTGAGATAGAAACAGAAACTGACAACAACAGGAAAAAGAGAGAAGAAGAAAGACATATAATGGCTGGTTTCATACAGCACACTTGTGCTGTAACTAGAAATGAACACTGCTGTTGAAAGATCTGCATAACAAACAGTGATAAAAATGAATATCCCAGGAGAGTGGTATAGGACATCTCTGGAGTCTTAGTGGGACAGAAATGAAAAGAACTGTCACAACAAAACCATGGCTGTCTTCTTCTGAAATACACATTCGCACAAAAGACCAGAGAAACAAATAAAGAAATACAGTAAGCCTCAATATGGCTGTTTTCAGAGAGAATGGGGCCTCTACAACAGTGACGTTCAATGAATATCGTCCTTCTCTTGAGCAAACAGTATAGACATTATAAAGCTCCTGGAGAACTTCAAAAACACACAATATGACTTCCGCTACCCTTACTTTAGCACAGACATGCACACATATGCTTGTATATATCGTTTAAAAGGACCCTCCATAAAGTAATGTATTTTATACAGCAGAAATAGCTTATTATATGGCCTTACCCCACCACTAAAACCCAACCCTCACAGGAATGTTGTGGCAAATTCTGTCAAAAGACAGAAAAGTTTAGTATGATTTTAAGCTTTTGGAATTCCAAGGACACAAGGAACACCAGTTAGACCTAAGGTAAGTCTTTTAAGTGATGTGTTCAAAAACACTGATTCTTTCATTAATGAAACAAGTTTTTGAGTCAGTATTGTATCGTTCATTCAAACTGCTTTCTAAAAATTCACATTTTGTCCATAAGCAGCTTTATTAGACCTTTTTTATGTATCCATAATATTTGAATCAGAATATTTGGTCACACTTTATTTCGATGGTCTGTTTGCTGAATTTAAGTTACATTGGATACCTACAGTACCTACAGTATTTAATGTAATTCATTAATGAAGAGTTGTAAACATATACACAGTTTAATACTCATTCCTAAATATTTCCATTTACTATATTTTTAATGTGTAACACCTGTTTTTATTGGATTTATATAGTATAAAATTTGTTTCAGTTTAGTACAGCACATTATTTACAGTAAATAACTGAACTGAACAATTATGCCTCATATGTGTCATTGACCATTTTATTAATCACTAAGATATTATAGACTTGAAGTTGCTTCGATTTAAAAAGGAAAACTGCAAAAATAGCTTAAGTGTATATTTTTTTTTTATTGCAATAAGACTTGGGTGTAGCCAAGCTACTTTTGCCAAGTAGAGTAGCTAATACCTTAGCTCACCACATTTTTAAGTGGCTTGCCCAACACTGGAAATATACAGACTACACTGTGTACCATACACACAATTATTAATATATTATTATAGGTCTAGATAACAATATAAGTACATTTTCCAGTCTGAATTTCAATGAGCAGGTAAAACAATATGCTGCTCTCCAAAATCACTTGGTATGGATAGTACACAAATCTGTCCAAAGTTCCCACAGCAGCAACTACACTTTTATGCCCTACAAAGAAAAAAAGCCAGGGCACAAGACCTCAGTCACAGGACACAATGACTTCAGCAGACACTTCCCCTGATCTAGCATGCTAATGTATTCAAGCTGAACACACTCTCTACCTCATTATCCCACTATTTTACCACTTTCTTCTCTCTACACTCAAACTCTCATTTTTTTTTTCTCTCTCTCTCTGAGATGTGCAATTGTAGAGTTCGTGAAGTCAGCGTTAGTATTTAGTGTGAAATGAGCTGTAAATGTTGTTTCATTGAGAGTGGGCTGCTAATTCTCAGGAATTGCCAAAGATTGCACAAAGAAGTTGTATCTAGCCTGGAACAATTATTACTAATGCATCATTCATGCATTATAAGAAGACTGTTGTAGGGAAATTCCTTTGTTGCTAATATGTTACAACTCCATATGCACAAATTACACTGTCTAGTCCATGCCATTTAATGCATTAAACAAGGTGTGATGCAAATAGTGAGATGGTTTATTTGCTAGTCCTAAAACCACTGAGCCGATCACATATGTTATCCAGCTGTAAAAAATCTAACATTCTGTGAAACTGCATTGTAAAAATTGAAGCTTGAATGCATATGTATAAACAGATAAAACTCCTTTCTTTCTTAAAATAAATCAAACGAGCACATTTATAAGCTTGATAACCTTAATCATGTGACAGACACACAGATATTATTGCTTCTGCTGAAGCACAAGATGCCCTTTGGATCATATCAAATCATGCTGGATTTTCTTTTGCACAAACTTGTGCAAACAGCTTGAATTAAAGCCAATACTTCAAATACCAAATGCTTCGAAAATTGCGTTCATTTTTCCATTCAATTTTACACTCAAATTACTCTGCTGATAACATAGAGAAATGTTATGTTATTCTGTCTGGGAAAAGCATGTATTTAATTAAAAAAGTCAAAACAGGGGCTTTGTCATTAGTGCTCTTTCTTAGACTTCTGGACTCCATTGAACAATTTATTTAAGGAAACTAAAAAAAAAAAAAAAAAACTATAAACATTTAATGAATATCTAAAATTATTTATATATTAAAAATAATTGTTATCAAAACATCAGTCATTTAAACCTGTGCCCTTATTTAGCACTTGACACACTAAACCCAACATTCAGAC